GAATCATGGTACATTTCCCACATCATAAAATTTATTGTTAATCATATAGTAGATAGGCCGGGAGAGGTGGCTCACGCCTGTAATCCTAGCACTCTGGGAAGCCCAGATAGAAGGATTACTTGAGGTCATAAGTTCAAGACCAGCCTGAGCAAGAGCGAGACCCTCTCTCTACTAAAAAATAGAAAAATTAGCCAGATGTGGTGGTGCACACCTGTAGTCTCAGCTACTTGGGAGGCTGAGGCAGGAGGATTGTTTGAGCCCAGGAGTTTGGGGTTGCTGTGAGCTAGGCTGATGCCATGGCACTCTACTCAGGGCAATGGAGTTAAACTCTGTCTCAAAAAAAAAAAATCATATAGTAGATAAAAAATAAATATTTAATGATTGATCGCTTTATAAATAAAACAAAGTCATTGTCTTCACCTAAGAGATAATTTAATTTAATAGTTTGAAATTTGAGAGTGATTTGATACTCAGAATTTCTACTCTGACCTCTTTGATTTTTTCTGCTGCTCTAGGCAAGCCATTTAAGCTATTTGATTCATTTTCTTAATCTAAAAATGTAAGTAAGGCTTGTCATCTGTCTTATTCATAGTGAGTGGAGAGGAGTATCCTAGTCAATGCGAAGTACACGGCTAATGCAAAGTTTAATAAAAATGATAAATAACATCTATTACAAAATCGAACCATTGTTCAATTTCTTCTGCCCTTTCAGTTCTTTGATTCAATATTCTTTCACTGAAATCTGAGAGCTTTAATTTGAGAAAGTGTTTTACTAATAATTGTAGACTTTCTACATTAACCTTTTTTTTAATCATTAGGCACACCTGGAGGATATGAAATTATTCTTTTAAGGAAATCAATATATCACTAAAAATGTATAGAAAAGCATCTGGCAATGGGATTTCAGGGAAATTTGTGTATGAAAACATTATATCAGAGAATTTCTTGTTTTCCATGGAAAGTTCCTTTAAATAATTTAAAATAATACTTTCTTTCATTATTTTTTAATTCCTTAAGGAAAATTCATGTTCTTTTACTAGAAGAACCACTGTTCTTATATTATAACTTATGAACAGTGGAAAAAAGAAAAAAAAAATTCATTCTCGGTGTTTTTAAAGTATCAGGAAAATCTTTAAATAATTTTATTACATTGTAGATTTTCAAAATAAACCAGTACATTCTAACTAATGATACTTCTACTTGTGAGCCAATAACATTAATAACATGTCATGTGAGGTAGGTTTTGTTTAGTGTTTGAATGTGGGCAAAAAAATATAAATTTTAGAAGTTAAGATTAGATTTAAAAGTTAAAGCAACAGAAGAATCTTTCTTTCTTTTTGGCTCAGGCTGGAGTGCAGCACTATGATCATAGCTCACTGTAGCCTCATTGAACTCCTGACCTCAAGCAATCCTCCTGCCTCAGCCTCCCAAGTAGCACTACAGATGCCGACCACCATGCCCAGCTCAGAAGAATATTTCTTTAAAAAATAATCACAAACTATGATAGAGATGATAGTCAGTGAGTGTTGAATAATGTGCATCAGATATAATCTAACTTGTAAGAGAGGAAAAATGAGAGACAACAGTACAACAATGGTAAAGAGAGATAGTATAATTTCTGGAAAGGTTTCCCACATTTCTTAATTATATAATTCCTCCAATTATTTTCTCTTTCAAAATATATGTCTTAATTCTATTGCAGTTTACAAACACTTTTGGTAGTGCAAACTAATTAGGTAAAATATAAGAATAATACGAATGAAATAAAAGTCAAATTATGTTTTTGCAATTAAAAAGAATTCTATTTGAAGGTGTTAACATAGAGACAGATTTAAAAATTTGATAAAGCTCAATGTTTATATTACATGTGAATTTCATTTGTCTATGCTATCTCTATCATACTGGATAAAGACCAAAATCTAGAACATTGCATAATAAACCCTCTGCAATTGCTCCTCTCTAGAGTATATTCTGTTCTTGGCCCTAGTGCTCTATTTCACCATTCTTTCATTTATTTCCTTAAGTCTTTGCTTTATCTGGCTTAGGGCCTTTGTCACACAGTTCCCTTAGCCAGTAACACTCCTCACCTTTCCTCCTCTTACCTGGTTAATGTGCACTCATCCTTCAATATCAACACATACTACAGCCTTAGGAAAGCCTTCCCCAACCTCCCAGGCTAGATCACATTCACCTGATCATGCTGTCTTATAGCACATGAGATTTATCCTGATTTGTAACTATACCTTTGAGTGAATAAGAAAAAACCTTTTGGCTGGGTGCAGTGGCTCATCCCATAATGCTAGCACTCTGGGAGGATTACTTGAGGCTGGGAGTTCAAGACCATCCTGAGCAAGAACAAGGCCCCTTCTTTACAAAAAAAGAAGGTTGCACCAGCCAGTAGTCCCAGCTACTTGGGAGGCGGAGGCAGGAGGATCACTTGAGCCCAGGAGTTTGAGGTTGTAGTGAGCTGGTGATGCCACTGCACTCTAGCCTGGGTGACAACGCAAGACCCTGTCTCAAAAAAAAAAAAAAAAAGAAATAAAGAAAAGAAAAAAAAAAAGAAAAAAACATCTCTCTCCCTTCTCTCTGACTAGATGGAAAATTCATGAGGCAATACCTAACCCGTTAACTATTGCATGTCTAGCACCCACAGTATGAATTGACAGAGGGAAGATACTTTGTTAATTTTTGCTGAAATGAATAACTAAACTTTATTTTTAGATCATTGAGTCACAAACTATGAAAGGAGCATAGCAATGTGAGAATAAAAAGTAAACACAAGTTTAAGACAGAATTCAGAACATAAAAGAAAATTTTGTGATGTCTTTGGATCTTATGGAATGGAATACATAATAATGACAGGTTATATAATTACAATGTTAATTACTATGACAAAAATAAAATTAGTTTCCCATATTTTTAATAAAAATTAAAATGAGAGGAAAATAACTGGCTTGCCCACACAATTCTTAGGGTTATATTCATTTACACTTACTTAGTTATTGTAGCTGGAGGGTATTTCGATTTTTGTAATGTTTAGCCTGCATTAATACCTCCAAAATCCCATTTAATGCCTTTTAGAGATTAATAAATCTTAGAAGCTAAAATTTTAAGAGAATTGAATCCTAATTATATTTCTGAATTCTTTCAAACATCAAACATTTTTTTAGATCATTGTTTCAGCAGTGACTGACTGTGACCAGGTATTCTTAAGACCATAAAAACAATAAGAGGGCTGTGAAGTCTTGACCTTCAAAGTCAGACCTCTAGGAAGTCTGCAAATACCATTTTTAGGGCTTGTGAAGACGAAAGCAATAGTTCACTTATCCACACAAGGCCTGTCTACCTCATCCCAGCATACATAACCATCTCAAATCTTTATAAATTAGACATAGTCTAAAATTTCAAGTAGAAAATTATTAGATATATTCCAGTTGCAAAAGTCTATGTGAACATGAACCAGCATGTTTGAAAGGCTGATCATTCAAAAATCAATTACTAGACATTATATTTTCATTAAACATATGTTCTGTCATATTAATTTTAAAGTGAATATACCTACATATCACATGGTTTGTATTTCTTTTCAAAATAATATAAATTTAACAGATGCCAAAGTTATTAGGTTCCTTTTTTTCATTTTTCTCCCAAAATATTTTACCAGGGAAAAGTATTATTTAAACTCTCATGTCTGTTTCAAAGGGAAATTTGGTAATCAAAAATTTAGGTTTCTTTCTGCTCTACATTTTACACCACTAATTCTTTTCAAGATCTAATGAGAAAGATGTCTTGTCAAGAATGTAGGAACCTAAATGTCATTTTACAGGAAGAATTCATAACAGATTTTTGACTGAGAGTTTCTTTCATCACACCTACCTACCCATGGAGGTTGAGAGGAAGAGAGAAAGAGAGAATCAAACTTCCTAGTCAGGTTGCTTTTGTTCTGTAGGTAAGACGTTTTCCAGAAATTATATTTCTATATGACCTAATGGGTTGCTTAAATTTAAGATTTACAAAAAATCCTGCTTCTAATTTTATCGTGGAAAAGCTTGTCATAAAACCTAATCAATGTCATTCTTTCATGCATTCATTTATTGAATTTATAAATTTAATAAACATCAATTGAGTACCTACTATGCTTTAATCTGCCAAAAATCTGCAAATCCAGCCGGAGAAATGAGTCTGTTAAATCAATGACAACAATGTACAATGAGTTCTACAAAAGAGATGTGACCCAGATGATGAAAGATTTCATCATCTGGGGCCAGAAATAATTTGGGGCTGGAAATAATTTTCATCATCTGGGGCTGGAAATATTTGGGGCCGGAAATAATTTGAGGACGGTTTCTGGAAGAGGTGACTTTGGAACTCAGTCTTGAATGTTGGGTAGAAGTTTGCTATGTGCAGAGGAAGGAGATGGGAGTAGAGGAGGGAAATATGATTTCTATAAGAGTGTACATTGTGTTAAAAAATGGCATTTTTTTGTTGTTGTCGAACTGCTGAAAAGACTGCAGAGAATGTAGAAAGCTGGAGAAAGCAAGATTTGAATAATAGTGGGAGAAAAAAAGCTGACAAATTATGGAAATCCCTATATGTTATATGCAGGAGTCTGAATTGTATTCATCCATAAAAAATAAATAAATGTTAAACTATTGGAAATTTTGGCCTTATTTGCATTTCAAGAAGAACATTCTGGCAAAACATGTAAAGGTTGCATTATAGAGAGACAAGAGACAAGACTCTTGTTAAAGGTAAGAAATGAAAAGATTGTAGTTGGACAGGTGAAAATAGAAAAGGAACTAGATATTTCAGACCAGAGGCCAGATGGATATGGACCACAAAGAAGAAGAGTATTTACAGAAGACCGAATCTGCTACCACTTTCAGATTTTAGTACCAGAAATTGATATTAAGTAGGGTGTTCCAAATTCACAGAATCAGTGATAGATAAATTCCATTTAAGTGACTATATACTGCTAAAAAAGAAAGAAAAACATGACATTTATTATGTAAACTATCAAAGGTTTATTTAAATTTTCTTTTAAAATATGTTCAAGTAAAAATATGTACAAAACCAGATATACAAAGATTGAAGCAACTAGAAGCATGGCAGTTATACATACACATAAACACAACTGAAATCCAATTCAATGCAAAATTGAGTGACATTATATTGCACCAAAATGTATTCCATACAAAAGCACATGTATCAAGAGTTTCCATCAGATGAAAGCACACTTATTTCATAGCATCTTACTACTTACACAAAATAGCCCATAAACACCATCTGGTAGTGTGAGTACTGCACCAGAACTCTCCCCAGAGGGAAATCATTTAGCTATAGAAGAATCCATTTTATTTCACATATCACATGCTGGTACAGGCATCAGTGCCAAGGAACTCTAAGAAACACAATACAAACTACAAATGGAAGTCCCTCTGCATCATTTATATTTTCATAGTTAAATATGTTAGTACTCCTAATAGGATTGGAATGTAGATGCAGAGAAGTAATCTCACCCCTTAAGAATTTATCAATCAATGTAAGGTATCGTGTTAAATTTTCATACAATACACACAATCACCTTTACCAAGTTTCATTATCACAATGCCAGAGTGAAGGAATCCTGCCTGAGATGTAGACCAGTGAGCATGTCAAGGGTCACTTTTTCTCAGCTGAATCGCTCTGTTCCTGCACTTTATGTCACTAGACCCTAACATCCACCATGCCCCTGCAGTTTTGGAAATGGTAGAAGGTCAAGAAAAATGCATTCCAGATCGAAGTTAGGAATTTATCTCTTCTATAAATTACAATGTAAGCACAGATCAAAGAGATGGTTGCCAGCATAACCCTCAAGAGTAACCTGGCTACCACTTTCCCACTGGGCTAAATTGATTCCCCTGTTGCAAATTACTGATGCTTGTCATAGAATATGAAAGCTATTGAAACACATTCATACCTAGTAATATGTTCATATGAACATACCGACACACACACAAATTATTCTACACCTTGCAAACTGAAAAAGAATTTACTTTTACTAGGTCAAATTTTTAGACAAAGCTCTCTAAAACCATTTTTATAAAGTAAATTCAGATATATTTACAATAAAAAGACATGAAAGATTCATCATGAAATGAATTCTGAGTCAATAACTGAAAACCATCTTTACCAGTGCATCACTACCATGTAATCCACTTTATGATAAGTAAGAAACAAGCTCTATGAAATGTGGAGTCAAATCCTTGTCAGAAAAGCAAGACAAATTATGTTCACCAAGCATTCAGTACAAGAGGCCATTTGTCTTGCCTTTTTCTGACATGTGCTTACTATAAAACCACAGGTAGCCAACATTTACTATCAGTAAAATACAACTACATGTTCGTTCACCTGTTTGCCACAGGGAGAAAACAATGTATTTCATAGCATTAAGTAAAACACTTTTAGCACATCTGATGTTTGCAAAGTTTGCAAACTTTGCAAAGTTCCCAAATGTTGAGAATTACTACCCAAAACTCATTACTATTGTGCTACAACCCATCTACAGAGAGAGAGAGAAATTTCAGGCCAGTGTCTCTATTCAAATTTTAAAGCAAAATATATCCTAATATTACTACATATTCTAGGAACTGTCCTAAAAGAGTTAAGTGTTATTTTACTCTCTGAACATGAATCACATCCAAAGAAGAACCCAGTTTTCAAAATTTAAATATTAAATGTTTAGTTCCAGATTAATAAGTTACTTTAACATTCACAAAGGAAAACTATTAAGTAACAAATTTCTCCAAGGAGAGGATCAGATTACTTAAAATTGTTGGAGAATTTTGGTGGTTTCTCACTTTTAGCGTATTAAGAAATGCTATGTGGTAGTGCTTGAAATAATTAATATACATAGTAGTTTCATGTAGATCATTTCTAGTCTGTTACAAGCATACATTCATTTGAAGCAATCTGTTTCATTTCTCCAAAGTACGTTTCTACTTTAATATATACTTTATATTGTATTAGTAAATGGAAAGTTTGAAGTAAGAAGAAATTCTAAGGCAAAATTAAATCAGAAACCCTTTGAAATAAGACAGTTCAAACCCAGGACCCAGGAACCACATTGCCTTGCCTCTCCCAGTGTGACATGACTGTGCTTTCAAGCATGTGCTAATAAAGTTAATTATTAGGAGTATGTGAGGTCTAATTTTATAAGCCAGACCACTCACAACCCAATTATACAGCTATAACATCCAAAAGCCTGATATGTTTTCCCATAAGATGCTGTGCAAAATACTTGGTCACACAAGGTACTCAAAGTACAGTCACCGCTGCAAAAGAGACATCTGTGCATTATTAGTCTTTTTCCCCCTGTCTGGCTTTGAGTATGGTTTTTAGAGGCTTCAACATGAGGTAACGAGGACTTAGCAAGCAATTCTCCTAACCAATAAATTAATTCACTTGAAAGTCCTACTTTCCTTTTTAAAATCAGTAGTGTATATGTCAAGGGGGAAAAAGCACACATTCATGTTCAAACAAGTGTAGCCATCTGTATAGCTCTCAGATCCTAATGCTCCACAGTTTCTTGAGAGAATTGTTATCAATAAACCTGTAAAGGCAGTTATTGATACTATAAATGTACCCTTGATCCAAGTACACTGAAATACACACATGTAACAGAGAGATATTTAGAAACTGTAACCATCCTCTGTGCATTTTAAAGCCATTTTAAATGGTAACAAAGAAGAAGAGGAAGCAAACTCACAAAAAAAGTAAACCTGACTGATCGATGCACACTAAGAAAATCTAAGAAATGGTATAAATTCAAATTAAGATTCGCTTCCTACTTTGAGCATATATGTCAAGAAATAAAAGAGAGTAATTAATTCATTCAAATAAAATAGAGAAATGGTTCAAAAAGATCAAGTGATCTTTTTGAGATCCTTATCTCACAACATAAGGAAAATTGGTGAACTTTCTGTGAAAACGTAATTTATGCATTAGTGAATCTGTAGCTAATCTAAAAGTAGACAAAACATTTAATTTTAGACCCCAACTAATTTGAAAATGCAACAGAAGAAAGAATTACCTCCAAAAATTAACTATTAAAAAATCTTTTTAAAGTACAGTACTAATAAAACTAAGGCCTACTTGGCGGTCGCACTTTTAGGCATTATATTAATATATATTAGGATAGATTTAAACATACTGTTAAAAATACTGTTTATGAGAAAATTATTACATATATAGATAATGATTCTTTACTCATAGATAAGTAATGTAAACAAGCTACCATGATGACTCATTATCTACTCTAAATTATATCCACTATGAGCTCCTCACCAGTTACACCATATTTTAATTCCTGACTTCGAATGGTTAGGAAAGTAACATGTAACTCTGTAAACACTATCAGCACCAACACACTGCATATCATGTAGGGTAAAAGGAAGCAAGATTATATTCAAGTAAAATCAAATTGCTTAAGTCATCTACATTCAAATCCCAAATCGCTTTATATTTCTTTACAAACTAAGAAAAAGAGCTATGATTCAAATCGTATTCATTGTTTTTCTATCATTCAGAATGAAGATGAAACTATCTCCTCATAAATCACATAATACACATTATGAGAAATCCACTTATATTCCATAGAGATACTTCAATTACTCATAACTTTAATATTTAAAAATATACCTTACAAATAAGCCATGCTCATTTTTGATAGAAAAAAATAATGGGAGTTACTTTAGCTTACTCACAAGGACAAATGCAGATATTTGTGAGGCCAGAATTATACACAATTTTGCTGGTCTTCCTCAAGAAAATTAATACAAAATTCCTAGCTCAAAGTTAAGTTCAGGACCTTGGAAGAGGCATGCTTAAGTGAAGGGCACTGAAGCTTATATTTCATTAGCCTCTTGGGATATCCACCTATGCATAGCAGACAACTAATTTTTAATATTTCTCTGACTATATTGCATAAGCCCAAAATACTGTCACCTCTACTCACATACTATAATTTCCTGTTACTCTGACCTTCAGTTTTCTCTCTTTTCATAACTTATGCCTCAATTATAAGAGGTCAACTTTAGCAAAGGTCAGAGTTGCTCCGTTTCTTAGCATTACCTTCGTCTGCAAATCAAGATAAAATAACGAGTTTCCTGAAGTCTGATTACAGTTTATGAAGATTTCTGTTATGTAATTATATGCTGTAACCATCTGTTGATATATCAAATAGCAATTGAGAAAATAATTTCACTAGACATACAAGACAATCTGGAAATTTGATTCAGAGTGCATATTTTAGTGTTAGAGAAACTGCCATGCATTGCTAATATAACCTGATAAGCTGTCCTAATTTGGGGCCAGCAGGACTGGGGGCTGTGGCATAAGTGCACATGCATGTCCTGCACACACCTCATTTTTTTTATGTTTGGAACTGGAGTCAAATCTTTGATCCAAGGAAAGACAAGAACAGGGTCTACTTTCAGCTGACCTAATCACCATTTCTATTATTCCAGTTTTCTTCATTTGATCAAAGGAACATAATCTAATACTTTAAAAATTGGGTCAAATTGGCATTATGAGGAAAATATTTACCGCAAATATTCATAATTGTGTAATGAGAATCATTCCTTTTTTAGCCAAATTTTTAACTTTATAAGTCTTCACTAGTCTTTTAAAATCATAATCAAATATGGGACTCAATGTATCCCCTACCCAAAACATTGAAAATAGTGTATCAGTTATTTTAAACTGTATTGGTCACTTTTACTTTTGAATGTTATAATAAACTCATAATATGTACACAAACATTTGTATATGCACACTGGTACAAATATAGCACATGTAAATATGTCTATCATTTTAAAAATATGAGAAAAAAATTATGCAGTATAAAAATATGCATTATTTATATATGTGTGTATATATGTGTGTGTGTGTGTGTGCATAAGGGAGAGTTTTTGAACCAGAATCTGCTTTATGTACTACTATTTTGAATAAAAATTATGAATACTGATTCCCTGATTAAAGAAACCCTGTGTCTTCTTATGATGTGTCTTAAAAATAAGCTCAAGTACAACTTCATCTTCATCACTTTTTTAAAAAATTACTGGCTGAATTTCTGTCTGGTTATAATGGTATTACAATGGCAGTAGAAATTTAATAATGTAAAATTCACTTTTGAAAAGAAGAGAAAAATAATGAACATGTATTCCAGTTCACTTGAACAAGGATACATTTAAAGAAGTATTAGAACCAAGAATAAACAAATAAATAAAATAATGAGATCAATCTGCTACTGTCAATATAATCACATTAACCTCAGGAATAGCCAAGAACTTCACAAATCTTTCCAGAAGACTTTACTAGTTTTTTTCATTAAGGCAAGGAAAAACTCAAGAAGAGTTTGCATGTTTAGATTTTATGAGCCTTGACTGTGCAAAAGATAGGGATATAAATGAAATTTTTAATTCTCATAAGATAGAATAGGGAGAGGTGGACAAATGGACAATGTATACTGAAAATATGCATTATAGATCAGATTCTGAAAACCTTATGCTATGAGTAAGAGAAAAGGAATGGTTATGAATTCAGTTAGAGACCCAAACACTAGGTTTAGCTAAAAAAAAAATGTCAGTCTTGGATATATATAAAATGTCATCAAGAGAAAAAATTGAAATTAGTGAATTGAAATTGCTCCAAATCATCATTTCTTCTTTGGACAATTGTCTATAAATTCTATGTCTGCTCTTAATAATTTTAATCAGTATAATTCTTTCAAAAATTCTCATTTTCAAATAGATAAAAATTAAGGATGAAATGTACTCTAACCATAACCATTTCATCTTAGATGTATATAAGTAACAGTCTAAAATTTCATTATTATATTATTCCTCTTTGTAAATGCCACAATATTTTCTAACATTGGCAAAAACAACACATTCTGAACACACACACTCAGGCACAATTTCTCCTGCTTTTGATGAACTTATTAATAGTTATCTATTTTACAAGTTAAATGATAATTAAGGTGATGAAATTGCTGAAAAACCCTTGATATAGAAGTGGAATATTTTAGAAACATCAGTTGTAAATCTTATTTAGCAATGACATTTCTTCCTCAATTTTCATACTAATATGCACTTTTCCCTAATTTATCTGGACACTTTCATCCAAAGAGCTATTTTAACAGATTATAAAATATACAAAAGAATACACAAACTCTCAAAATTCATTACAATGTAAAAATACCCAAAATGTTTTTCAATGTTCAGAATTACTAACATTTCATGTCAATATGATTATAGGGTTGGGCCTAATATTGGGGATATTTTCTTTATTGATTTCTCTCACGTTGATATCATAATTTAAAGATTTAAAAATGCACATGTTTAGATATATTCATCTATGGGTAAATTATTAGTGAAGCAGGTAGTTGTTCTTAAGAGCATTTTAATATCAAAGTGATTCTTGCTCTAAGAAGTGTTACACACTTTCCAGATCAAACAGACTGATGTGAAAACGAAATCACACATAACTGTGGAACTTTCTGATAATGAGTAAAAAAAAAAAAAACTAACATAATATATTATCAAGAATTTTTGCTCCAACATAAATCTTATATTTGTCTCATAAATAACAGCCCCTAGAAAAACGTATTCAACATATCCCCTCTGACCTTTGTTCAAAATGCTCTGAGTACAATCCATTAAAAGATGAGTGATATCTAAATTGGTATCTAAGGGGAAGTAATGCAATGTCAATGTAAAATAAATTTCTATTTGTTCTCTTTGCCTTAATAATGATGTGTGTGTGTTTAAGAAGAATAGAAAACATTTTTCACAGTATAGTCACCTATGGTGTGTAAAACCGTGTTTACAAAACCCACACATACAGAAAACACGTCAGTCTTCAATTTGAAGGTTCTTAGCCATGGGAAATGAGATATGGTGTAGACAATGACCACTAAAGTAATGTCCATTTTCTTAGTCTTTTCCCCTAACTCCAACAGGTAGGTATTGGACACTAGAGAACTGTGTGAACTCATATACAATTGCACATTAGCTTCCTATAACTAATTACATGGAGTTATAAGTAAATTTCTTAGAAATTAGTTTAAATATACTAAATGATATGAATAGAAATAATTGATTCTTTTAGTCCGTCACCAAAGTTGCAATTCTCTGGATTTCCAGAAAATGAAGGAAAGATCCACATTGTATCTCTGCCCTTGGGCTGATGGCCAAGATTTCAAATTCATTAGTTCACAATTTATGACAATCTTCTTCTGGTACTACTTCCAGTATTATCTGTAATGTTCTGGTTACTCTGTCTACAAAGAAATAAAGAAGAGAAATTAAAAATGCATGGAAATCAGAAATGCATAAAAACAGCAAAATATGAATTATTTGTGGTTGAATACTGAAAACACACAACCGCCTATTTCATAGAGAACTTTCAAGAATTATTTACTTCATTAGAATCCTATCATGCTCAATTAATTTATTTGTCACTTCTGTAACTTCCCATGATAGCTTCTCAGCAAGAATACATTAATATTTTGCATTCAAATAAGGACTTTTATTCATGAACCAGGAAGCTGAAAATATCTTGAGACAATAGAACCAAGATATAAATAAATGTTCAAAATACACTTCATATTAAAACAGGTTTGTTCTTTTCACACCTATGAGATTACAACCTGTTCCTCAGAAGAATCAGTAGAAGAATCAGAATATTATTTCAAGTCTAACTTGTAGCATATTATTGAGGAAATTGTTTTATCTCCAAGGGCCTCATTTGCCTCATCAGTAGAACGAGGGACTCAATCAGTGTTTCTCAAAGTGTGGTTCCTGGGCCAGCAACATTAGCATCACCTGAGATATTAGAAATAAATATTTTTAAGCTAAACCCTAGACCTCAACCCTGAAGGCAGGGCTTAGCAATCTGTAATGCTGATAGGCCCAAAAATGTAGGAACCCCTGGGTTAGATGATTTTTAAGGTCATTTTATCTTGGCAGTCATAGAACTCTGTGACCCCGTTTTGCAGGGACATTAATTCTTTGCCTCTGATCTTTGTAATCAATCCCTACAGAGACTCTTCAGCTTCCTATCAGACCTGGAGAAGTCTACAGCCCATCCTGTTGATGTTTTCAGACACAAATCTTCTCTCATCTAGACATATAATATTTCTCCTCATTTATGACTTGTTCCCTATTGTATCCCCTTCTAAGAAATAATTAATTACAAAAGTATTTCTTCATCCTTTGCTTTATAACTGTGTTCACCAAACGTGTTGTCCTCAGCACATTAATTTTACAGACAGTATTAATTGTCAAGGGCCAGCACAGTGCTGGCCACCGATAAGCTCTGCATAAATATTTCTTAAATACACTATTTTTCACAGCTTGCTCTTTACATTGAGAGGTAAGTGTAGAATGAGGGAGCACTCAAGAGCAATCAAAGCTCATATTTACAGAAAAGGGAAATTGTAAAATGGTCCTACAAAAATACACTTTTGTGGGAAAATTAAGTATCAATCAATAGTAATGGAGATGTGACATGTTTAGGCACAGAAAGGAATAGGACTGATAGTAGGTTGAAGAAACAAGAGGTTCAGGCATCTGCAATGGCCAGATGGAGAGCATTGGTGTGAAGAAGATATCCTCTCTGGCCTTGTCTCCCTGAAGTGGTCCTGCCCCAGCCTCCTGAACTAATCTCCACAACGTCTGCCCGCCACACCCAACGCCAAAGCCTTTTCCAGAAGTGTTTCTCTACATTCTCGACCCCCTACACCTGTGCTGTCTTAGACATCTTGCCTCCTCCTATGTCATTTCCCTGGCTCCATTCCAGACAAATAAGGAGCAACTTCAATCCTGCTGCTTTCCAAGCATGTCACTTTCCTTCCTGAAATCTGTTTAGATTCTCCGTTCAGGAACACGATGAAGGCCAAAGAATCTCTCTTCTGGTTCTGCACACTTTCTGTGGTCTTCTATTCCTCCATGTTCAATCAGCCCTAGTAACAATCTCTCCTGTAGCTTTCTTATGTTCTCTCTTGGGATATCAAGATTTGAGTAATTTTCATCATAACGAAGGTTTCCACAGAGTGATTGATTTTGGCTACAAGTACCTTTTGGAGTCACACCAACTTTTCCTTCTGGGTTATCTTACAGCATTAGGCCAGACAGGGGTACTTGATGAAGGCAAGTAAGCCTCTAAAGCATCCTCTAGCTTGCTGGAAACACCGCAGAGCATGTGGCATTTGACTACCATTCCTATATCCACGCTCATAAAAAGGCTTTTGGCTTGGGGATCATTGCCTCCATGATGTTACCGCTTTATATAAAGGTGAGCCAGTAAGTCTGTGCCTGGTGTTTTCAGTAACTGCAAGCTATGGGACCAAATAACAATTGCAGTATGTTTAGCTTTACCTTTCATGTTCAGTAGTTATTCCTGAAATAAGCTGAAACAACAAATGACCTTGCAAAATCTGATTTACCCAACTGTACCTGGTACTAACATGGGAACTACAATAAAAATTGAGTAAGTCTGTGAAGTAGCACACAGCCAATCTTCCTTGGAAATCATATTAAGAATAATAGTAAGTAATTTTTTAAAGGTTTCAAAATCTTTTCCCAAGTGTGATCTCATTTTATCCTTACAATGAAGATAGTTTGGGCCCCTATGAAATGTAGGCAAGTTTAATTAATTGAAAATATTAGACTGCAATCTTCATGAAAAGGCTGTTAAATGCATTAACTAGCTTTCGGTGACTTATCATAAGTTAGCATGATGCAGTGCATGCAATATAAGCTTTTAGGGCTCTGGAGTTGCAAACTCACTGTCCACAAAGATGCATTACAGTCATTCTGCTGGTGTTGCCCAGTGTGATTTTTTATAATAAAAGATTTTGTTTGAATAAGGCTGTTTACCATATTTCTCCCTGAGCAAAAGGGACCAACTTCCAGCCACCCCATACACTCTCAGCTGTCACAGGTTTCGGCTGATAAATAGAGAGACAGCCAAGCAGCAAGACGGGGGATTTGCCAGGTCTTACTACCTTGGTATATTTGCATATATCAGTGGGGTATTTGCCCCTTTTGCCTTGCATGAGCATCCTGGGTTTCTATGAGTAGATAAATAATATAAATAACCAGCCGGGAGAATTAACCACTCTGTCACAGGTTTGGCAGAGAAAAGCTTTACGCAGTATCTGCCTATTCCCTAAAGAGCACATTTTCTTTTCTCCCTAGGAACGCTATCAAACAAAAAGTGGTTCAACACTGGCATCCTGTGGCCAGAAAAATTCATCAAATCTCTGGAACTCTCAGATCCTTGTGTTCTGAACATTCCCTGGCTGGTTGTACTAAGCAGCCTTTCACCATTTTCTGAACACTGTTCAGTCACCTCCTAGATAAGATGTATTTTAATAGACTATCATTTTCACAGGGTTAATCTACTCATGTATGTTAGGGTAAAAATAAATGATAGTCTAAAATTTAAAGAAATTTACCAAGCAAAACAATATGATATTAAATCACTGAACAAACTGCTCCAAGCAAAGGCTCTCTTGGTGTCCAAGTTCACACTGAGTTTCTTTCTAACAAAAAGATCATAGAATAGTTGGGAGAAAGGTTGGGGTGGTGGATTAGGACTCCGTTGTTCTGTGTGTCTGTGTGTGAGTGTTTTGTTTTGGCCAAAGGCTAAAAAATAACTTGCTATTGCAGCAATAAATATTATGAATTTTCTTTATTTTATTACAAGAATGCTGCCTAAGAGGAAAATTAAACAAAATTACGGAGGATTGTTGCTTTTTGCTACTCACTTTCAAGGCAGCTATAAAGATAAAGAGTCACAATGATCACAGTTTAAAGGCAGAATTGCCATGCTCCCTGGTAAGACTTAACAGCATTTTTGAGAACCAAATAACTGTTAAGGGACTGCTCTGTTGCTGCGAGTTTCACAAAAGGCTAACACTAAATTTGGAGGCCTTAGAGATGTTCAAAACATCATTAGAGATAGAAAAATATAAAAGCAAGGATCAAGCATGAGAATTGCTTGTTGATATGAACTGACAAAGACATGGTACAAAATACATATCATATATGTTATGTTATATATGTTAACATATATATGTTAGCAAAAGAACTTTGAGTTGGCTGACTACAAACAGGAAGATGAAAACACCAACTAAGTGGGACAGAACAACAACTTTGCTTTTCCATTATGCTCTCTCTCCTTCTACTCCTACTCTAGTGTTACCAGTTCACTCTCTCTAAATTCTCTTGGTTTTCCATGGTGCTCAGGGGTTGAACTCTCGAGCTGGGATGGGAAATAGACATGGATCTCACAGTGGTAAGTGCTAATCTGTCTTAAATGGTAAATATTATTTAACAGTACCTTTTCTGCTTTTCTGAATAGGTTCTATATTAAGTGTCTAAAAAAGAGAAAACTTACATAAAAATATTCTGCATAAAACTAGTGTGATCTAACAAGAAATGCAGATCAAATGCTTGGTTAAAGCAATCAGTCCCTAACTTGTATAGTAACACTTCTTTGAGAGATAACGTTACCTGCTAGAAAACAAAATCCAGGTATAAATAGTAGCATAAAGTCTAAAGATGTCAAATACCAATTAAAATCTAATTGAGTAGTCGTAAAACTCTGCTTTAAATAACTGGATTCTAAATGAGTTTGCCTAGCATACTATAGATTCAATATGTATATTCAGATTTCATTGTTGATTTTTAATAACATTGACATTATTAATAATTTTAGCAGAAATCTCTCTAAGCTTTTAACTTGGATTTTAAAAATTAATTACAGTAAGGTAAGTAAATTAAAACAAAGATGTACAAAAGTATATTCTAAAACCACCAGCGGGGCCGGGCGTGGTGGCTCACGCCTGTAATCCTAGCACTTTGGGAGGCCAAGGCGGGCGGATTGCTCAAGGTCAGGAGTTCGAAACCAGCCTGAGCGAGACCCTGTCTCTACCAAAAATAGAAATAAATTAATTGACCAACTAAAAATATATATACAAAAAATTAGCTGGGCATGGTGGCGCATGCCTGTAGTCCCAGCTACTCGGGAGGCTGAGGCAGTAGGATCACTGAGCCCCGGAGATTGAGGTTGCTGTGAGCCAGGCTGACGCCACGGCACTCACTCTAGCCTGGGCAACAAAGTGAGACTCTGTCTCAAAAAAAAAAAAAAAAAAACCACCAGCAAAATTATATCTTCCCCTCTAGCTATATATTTGACCTCTTCTTTCTCTTTTTCTTCTATAAGGCATCCAATCTAGAAAGAGCATAGACTTTGAAGTCCAGCAGATGTGGGTTCAAATCCTAGCTCTATAGTTTAAAATATGTACAGTGAAAAATAAATTCTCCATGTCTCTGAGCCCTGGTTTCCTCATGTGGGTCTGGGATTAACACTACCTTGCACGTCAATCTTGGTGACGATCGCCTGAGATGACAACACAGGGGAGAGGGCTCAGGAGAGCCCCTGACAGAGACACAGGCTTTCAACACAGGCTGTTCATAAACACCTTCCTACTTAGTGATCTACTATGTTTCCTTCTCCTCCAACTTAACTGGTCACCACATCCTGCTGGGTTTTCCTCCTTAATGTTTTTCCCTTTCTCGCATACCCTGCTGAGACTGCCTGTGCTCAGACCGCCTTCAATTCTCATCAGGATTGCAGCAATAACCACCAAACCTGATGCTCTGACTTTAGCCTCAACCCTCTCTAATCCATCCACACTGCCCACAGGGGGATTTGTCTAAAATACAAACTCTCTGAGTTTGAGTGTCAGCTCTCCTACTTCATATCTGTATGGCTTGGGACAAATGGCATGAATTTTTACATGCTATAATTCAAAAATCTATAAAATGAAGGTAATCATTTTTCCTATTTCAGAAGCCGATTTTAAGAACTAAACAAGGGCATATATGTGCAAACACACAGAATTCACACAATAAATGGAAGCTGTTATTCTTCTCTTTATTGTTCTTGCTATCATGACCTGTCTGTGAGTCACTGTCCTACTAATGTAGTGTTGTAATCATGATATTGAAGACACTTGCAGGCCTCTGCCTAACTCCACCACAAATCTCATGTCACACATCAAGTTATGATATAGAATCACTAAACTGCATTCAACCCAAGAGAAAAATAATTAGGGTGGGTAGGGATTCAAAAGAGCAATTAGGTCATTTACAGAACTGCTGATAAAATTCAATCTAAGAAAGCAGTTATCTTAAGAAGCGATTACAGCATCCAAACTAAATACACTGAAAGGATTCAATGGCTACACCCTGAGTGTCTTTCCTTCCAAAAAAAAAAAAAAAAAAGCATTTCCAATTAAAATGCAATAATGTACTCAAACTAGCAATTATGCCACACTTATATATTTTAATTTTAAGATATGCATGTTATGAATGCACACCTCTGTAGGTTTTCTATAACAGTGTCTCTCACAAGGTCCTGAAACTGCTTAAAAATCTTACCTGACATTCTTCTAAACCACTTGGGCTTCTTGTCCCATATGATAAAGAGATAGTATGCAGGCACCCCAGTCAGAGTGATGACAAAGCCAATCCCTGTACTAAATGGGTCCGAATAGAGAGACAGGGCAACCATGAAGAAACAAGTGAAGGAAAACAAAGCTGGGATGAACAGTGGTACCTAGAACATGGAACAGAAAAAAAAAATCATTTTAAATATACTTCAAGAGACAGAAGATAGTTTCAAGATGAGACAAGAGACAGAAGATAGTTTCAAGATATCAGTCACGTGATATGCTTTAATCACATGACTGGGTGATAGGCACCAAGGTACTTTGTCTTAGTAGCAAAATCTCTTTCAAGGGGCACAGAGAGTGTCCCATTTAAACATATGCTTTTAAATTTAATTCAATTTAAATTATTTTAAAATCTTTGGCATAAACAAAATCTAAGCATAAAAAGGGAGGAGGGATGGGTATATTCACACCTAATGGGTGTGGTGGATGGACATGCTTGAAGCTCTGACTCAGGCAGGGCAACGGCAATATATGTAACCCAAACATTTGTACCCCCATAATATGCTGACATTTGAAAAAAAGGCTATTTCATAAGAGATGTTCTGCTGGAATTATTTTACTAGTTAAAAACCATTATGATTTATGTTTTTCATTTTAAAAGATTGGCTCTTTGATCATTATGATTAGAATCCACTTTAACGTGGAGTCAAGAGCACCGGCTGATAAGTTACATGTTAAAGTCTTTCAGTGCATATTGATTTTCCGTGGAGATTCACAATACGAACTGACAGGAGTAAAACAGGCCAACTCCTATTCAACCACTAATAAAGATGCTGCCAGCATTAGGCAATGAATATAATTAGAAACAAATTCTGACAACATGACTGACAGCCTTATCTGTGCTATTTCTTAAAAGCAAATAAATAGTGAGGTCAAATCAATCCGTGAACATTCAAGGCTGAAGGGAATGACAAGCAGAGTCTTCAGTCCTCCCCAAAGGAAGTGCTTAGTTTTGCTACATGGGCATTCTACTAAGTGTTAAGTTCACAGATCTTCCCTTTTTCTGTATATTTTACATTTCTATTCCTTTTAGAGTGTATGATGTACAGAAAGAGCGACGTAATAAGCCACGGCATTTACGTACTTAAAATGCCTATTTTGTAAAGCAGCAGCCTTTTAGAGAAGTATCTATCTGCCTGGCTCTGTCTCAGCATGGCCGTCCATACCACTCAGCATGAAGACACAAGTCTCCCATACTTTGGACACATCAGGTCGTTGGACACATCCATGAAAAACCAGCATAACTAACATCATCCATACCATCTTGTTTTCAAAAATGTGACAAAGTGCAGTATATTACATAACAATTTTGACTATTTTTTCCAAGTCATAATAAATCCAATAGGAAGGCACTGCCTGCTACAGTTAAACATTTTACTCCACAGGATGCTGCACCCTGCCTGGCCTCCCCATCATCAAGTTATGACAAAGGGAGGACTAGGTATTAAGAGGAAGATTTATGTAAACCCATCAAGATTACTGAGGTTACCTTGAAAGGACGATGCATATCTGGGCGTTTGTATCGAAGATAAATCAGGCCAGCAACTGCCAGCCCAATAAAAAGCCACCTGGCAAAACTGAGGAAATTCAAAAGACTGTTGAGGTCTCCAGAGAAGAGCATTATCATTGTCAAAGGGTGCTGGGTTTGGGGGGAGGGAGAAAGGGAGAAAAAGGAAGCTTGGTGAATTAAATGAGAACACAGGTGATAACAAACAATGACGTCACTACCCATTATTATCTTTTTCAAATGATTATTTACACTGATAAACTAGCAGCACATTAAAACCACAATTTGACTAATCTCTTCTCTATATTCTGCTCTTACAATGCATTTACACACCAGTAACCACATGAGAGTGCCATCATCATTACCCTTTACTCAAATTTTATATGAATTTTATATGAATGTTTTATTTTGGTTTTAGTTCCTTCTATACTTGAGAGAACTTGTTTTCAAAGAGCAAAAGAAAGGATATTCAATGATTCGAAATTTAAAGATCCAAAGACTGAGATGACTAGTAAATAGCCAATAATGAACATTAGAAATGCACCCAATTGGAAAATTCACATAAAGCTCTGCAAATGCTCTCTGATGAGCTCTTGGCTATACATACACATGAACCACAGCCACCTAGGGATGATTCTGGAGATTCCTGATTGCAAAACATTGACCTTTTTTCCTCCACATTTACTCTCCACGTGTGTGACCCTCAAGACCACAGAGAAGATGAGCACAGAGATCAGCTTAGCAAGTCTCTGCAGCTGCACATGCCAAGGACAGCATGACTGATAGCAGAGGCTTAAAACGAAAGCCCTCTTCAAGGAATAATACATTCTGTTCCCACAAGTGACGTTAACTTCCAGATTCCGCACAGAGAGTACGTGTACTTTAAAAAGAAATTTCAAGGAAACATTCTGAAACAAATTAAATGCATGAAAAAAAAAATGTTCGATGCATTCTATGGTGCTCCTGACAGCAGATTCCACTTGAGAGAAATGTTACAAAATCGTAGGGGAAAATGAATACAACATTACCTGTGGGTATTTGAGGACTTTTACACCTTATACAGTCTTTTGTAGCCCACATTTCACAAACACTTTTCTCTGCATAAAGAATTCTACAACTCAAATTTAAGTTTTGGTGTTTGTATTTTTATCCTGTAGGGTTTCTCTCAAATGTCTCACTTTTAATCACAGAATCATTGCACTGTCTAGGATTTCATCGATTCTGTGGATAATTTTTCATGCATTTCATTATGAGGTACCCAGGATGAGACAGCCGGGTATTTTTTTGGACTGAAGCTTTTAGCTTTACTTTCTATAAGTATTAATAGTAGGGACCTATTATTCAGCATCCTTTTCTGTGAGGCTCTATATGTTAGGGGGAGGAGCCAAGTTAATCATTTTCCTTTGACCTTCCAAATTTCTACAAAAGTGAAAGCAAAGCAATGTGGTTATTGCCCCAAAGCATCAAATACGCATCAGAAACACCAAATAAATGGAAGGGATGGAAAATATCCTACCTCCCAAACTCCACCATGGCATACATTAGTAATGAATGAGAAAGTAAAGCACTATCTAAAGTCTGACTTGACTTCCTCTTTGCTAACCTGTTTTTCAAGGTTATATCTACTAGATATACTTGTTAATATGCATTACCAAAACAATAACAGCTGGAAGAGGAGTGTGCTTGCGGACATGAATCATGGAGAGGATTTCTGGAAGGTGACCCTCTCGAGACGCAACATAGAATAACCTGATGGGAGAAAAATGTGGGTGGAGTTGACTATGTAATCGATCATTTCAAAGGGAAATTCCAGAAATCCCAGAGAAAACTTGCATATTTTTCATACCAAATGGTTTGGCATTTCTTGGGTGATTACTTAGGTTTCATTTTTCAGGTAAAATAGAGAATGTCACAAGAAATCTAAATTTGAATTTTACAAAATCTGCCAACATTATATTAGTCTTTGAGGAGAAACAATAGCAACATCTTACTCAGTATAGCTCTCCTTACATATAGATAGCTGATGGGGAATTTAGTTATATATTCCTAGTATTATAGGTGCGTTGTCAATTCAAATCAACAAACATACACACATGCAATACACATCTACACGCACACATATGGCATTCATATTTATCTGATTGGGTTTTAATTTCATCATATCTTCATGCTAAATAACAAAGATACCAACAATGTCAGATATGTAGTACATTAATTTTACCTTACAAATGAAAAATGAATTAAATAAATATACAATTGTCAAAAATACTTTTTAAAAAGGGACTTTTGCTTCAAACAGAACAAAGGGGATACAGATGGCAGGGTGGTGATTTCTGTTGTCTCTTCCTTTACTTTTATCTTGATATCTTTAGAGAAACGAAAGATTTTATCACCAGAAATGAAAAGCCATTGTTAGACTCTGCAGACATACTATTAAAAAATGCCACATGTCTGTTTTCAGAGTAGGCTTGGAGTAGACAAGGAGTGCCCTCTAATGGGCAGAATAAAAACCTGCTGTTAATACTTGAACCAACACTGCAATCTTGCACGTCCCTTTAAGAACAAAGGTTTGGAGGCACTATTTCTTTTCTTTTTAAAGTTATCCTTATCACATCCAATCTCAAAAACAGAAATGTGTTTCTGGAACTATGTGAACTCACTCACCTGGAGACAGCAAACACACCACCATTCATGGAGCCAAAGCAGGAGAGGGCAACAAAGATCGGAACCGCTAATGAGAAATTTCCCAGTAGCCGCTCAGAAAAGGTCTAGTGAAAGAAAGAATGAAGCAAATTAATGCTTTGCTAGAAAGTGGAATAAAATGAAACAATTTGGGCCAAACTTGCTCTATGACTCTCTGTTACCCTGGTGATACGTGTATGTTTTAAAATCCTTCTCTTTGGTTAGGGTCAGACTCACTCCGTGGACTACAATCAAAAGCAGGTACCATGGCATTGCTTGTTGCAAAACTATAGCCAAAGGTCTAAACAAGCACCTTCTCTCTACTTTCAAAAAGCAGTGATCCATTTACCGAATCTTTATCAACTATGATGGGTATCGTCTCTGACTCTGGTAAGTGGAAAAAAGCTCAGTTCAGAAGTTCTACTTCTGAAGACAGAAATTCTTCTGCACAATACCCTCTCTTTAGCCTAGAAAGCCATATTTTTATGGTGAAGTATAAATATACACTAAGAAGTATTACAGATACTTGTTTTGTATACCAATCCCACTGTTAGGAAGTCAATAAAATAATCGATGACTTCATAATTTATACCATATATATAAGCAGCCCTGAAAATCTTTTTTTCCAGAAAAATCACACCAGCTGAACCCATGTTTATGGAGTCACTCCCTCCCTCTCAGGTATTCTATCAATTCCTTTCGTGGTTCATTATAAAAAGGCTAGAATACAAATATAAGTTCAACAAGCCACAGAAATATATGAAAGGTAAACAAAACTTCTGCAATTTTCTTTTATACCATGATATGTGCAACATTGCAAATTCCCATGAAGGATGTAGTTTTCCCCAAAATTATGTGGGATTTTTTATTTGTCCTTGATGCAGCCAGTGCTTTGTAATTAATGGACCACATTATTCCCAAAGAATAAGCACTGCCCTTTGTCTCGAAAGATGAGAGGACTGACCCGACATCAGTAAGCATTGTATATTTGAGTGTCTGGTGGGAGTTATAACAGTGGGCAAAGTCTTTTTAATACAGTGAACTCGTACATAGGTTCACACAAAGTGAGATAATTTATTCCTTATGAATGCTGCTGATATGAACTAATATTATTTTTAAAGGAACTGACTTCAAGTGATAGGAAGTTAATTTTTCACCCATCATTGTTATGGGGTCATGAGTGAATGGTCTCCCACTCGCGCTAAGTTTTTATGCAAAATAAAAGTATGTGTCACAGAGTAACAATCCTATAACATGATCTTTGGGGACAAAGATGGTCCTGGTGTCAAATAAATTTTGGAAAATGTTATAAAATTATGTGTATCCACTTCTCAGGGAGTTAAAATGCACATTAGTATCTTTAATATTCTGAAAAGTACTATAACGACAGCTGTTTAACTTTAAATAACCCAGTGTCTTCCGAATATATTAACATCTCAGGACCAGTAATCAAAAGGATTTGCTAGAAAAAACAAATTTATATGGTCCACATGAAAATTCTTAAGTGGTACTTTGAGAAAAGGATTTTAAATTAGCATTTGAAAAGTTTACAAACAGGAAAGAGTACAGAATGAATTAAGATTTTTATACCAAAAAAAAAAATCCCCACATTCATTTAGATTCAGTAACTGTCCACCTATCCCTGAGGACATGTTGGAAGAATAATGCCTTCTACCCAACAATGCCTTGACAGATTTTCAAGCATGTATATTGGAAATATTTTACAAGAAATTAAAAATAAAGATAAATTGTATAGGATTTTAGCTGTATCCGTTACACGGAATATGCTAAGAGGTGCTCTGAATTTTTAAAATACTCATTATCATTCAGGTCAAGAAAAGATTACTGAATTTCAAAACACTTTCTGCTGGAGGGACCTACTATAAAATTGAATCAACTCATTAACCTAAATTCAAATTGGCATTTTCCCAGCCTGGACTTACCACTGCCACTGCATTTGAAAGCAACAGCTCCTCAGCGCTAATGGTCGTAAAGTAGGCCACATTTGTCAGCACATAGCCAATGGTGACGATGGCCATGGATAGACATATTGCAAGGGGGATGGTTCTGAAATGCACAAAGGGAATCATGCATTAGTTATCTTTTGTTAGTCATTCTCTGATACCAAAGAACATAACAAGCTAATTCCAAATGAAGAATGTAATGGTATCTACAATAATTATAGGCTCCGTTGGGTATGTATAAACATTTCATCAGGGCAAAGAACTACATAGTCCTTTGTAATTTGATAAGGTCCATGGGGGCAGATACTTCATCTGTCTTGTCTACTACTACACCCCAGAACATATGGATCTATCCCATTCCTATACTCTATAAGTGCTTCAGTGTTGTTTCTCAAACTTGAACATGCATCAGAATTGCCTGGAAGGCTTGTTAAAACACAGACTGCTGAGCCCCACCCCAGAGTTTCTGACCCAGGAGGATTTGCATTTCTCACAAGTTTCTAGGTGATTCTGATACTGCTGATGCGTTTGAGAACGACTGTCCTATATACATTTCCAAATACTAATTCACTGCCTTGACACCTTTCTAACACTAGTCCTCAAAAACATTTGTCATGTTCAGTGTTTTCCCTCTCAGTAGCTTCCCTTGCAAGAAAATAAATGCAGATTTTAGAAGCATGATCGTGGGATGTATCTACCTTTCTAAATCACGGCAATAATAATTTTGTATATAACACAAGCAGCACAGAAGTGTTCACAATAATGACTTTGCCCTGCCCTGCTGTGAGTTCAAAGGAAGCTCAAGATCATGAGTATCTAATAAAGCAACAGCGCAGATAATCCCATGAAATTAGAGGTGACATGCTGTGAAGTACAGATGACTGGACAGTGCCGACAGCATGTGGCATCAAGAAGTGCCCAGCACAAATGCAATATTATGTCTTCATTTAATGCACTGGGAAAGCCAGGTAGTAACTGACCCTGGTAATTTGATTCCATGTTACTGATACACATTACTTGCTTAACGTAATCGCCTCTTCAGACTCTTTCCAGTTCAGGCAACTTAAACCTTCAACTCCCTGCACAAAGGCTGATGGGTTTTTTAGCCATAGTGCGTATCGGCCCTCATGGAGTCTTCACCCTGCTGGGTGCCACTAATGAAGACCCCAATATAATTTCTTCCAAGATGAAAAAGCCAGTTCAGAAGCAGGGGGAAGGAAAAGGCACAGCCTGCCTCACTACCCGAGCTGGGTGTGTTTAGCACACTGAGTCTCGGCTTATTATGCTGAACAGCAATCCCCCCTGTTGAGAACAGGCAAACCTAGCCAATCAGCAGCTGCCATTCATTGTGCTGCTCAGAGCCTGACACCTCCCCTGGTCCCCAAAGCCTTAAGCCTTGATGGGGAAACACATTGACCTCTAAATCTTGACATCCTAATATGAAAGTAGCAGATGTTCCCCTTCCCCTGTGTGAAGAGGGTCCTGTGGAATTTGCCGTTAACACCATAACATGCATTGCTAGTTGTGATTGATAAATGCTCAATTTAAGCAAAGGAAATCACTAGGCCAATCAAATATAATGGAGTGAATTGCATAAAGCTAATTGAAGATGAATTCTGTTCCTCTGAAAGAGGGCTGTATGTAAATGCAAAAGGGTAAGAACAAGAACATGAAGGTATATAACAGCTTTTCAATCACTCACTGTATTATTTTAAACTTGAATCCTTTCAGCTTTTACAATAACTATATGGGAAGTAAATTCTTTCCATAGAAGAGAGGAGGAGAGGGGGAGAGAAAAAGACTCTCTATTTCTTGTAAATGTATGATTAATATATGCAAAAGTTCAATTAATTAAAAAGCGAGGTGACTTATTAAGTGCAGTGAAGAAACTTAACCTGTCCAGGCCAGTAGTGCTGTCATATCATGTGCTGCTACAAAATGACAGAAAGGAATAAATCTGAAATTTGGGACTGTGGCACTCCCAGCATCAAACTTAGCTCCCCAGCCTGGCTCCTCCAAGTCACCCTCCCTGCCTGTTCTCTGCCTAGACATTATGGTCTTCCTGAAGGTTGTTTTCTATACTGATCTTACCAGAAGGGATCCTAGAAAAACCAACATTCTGCGTTAGTTTCCCTTCTTTCTCAGTTTGTTGATAACAGAAACAACAGCAGTAGCTGCTGCCATTAGGCTACTGTGTGCCCAACCTTTTATTTGGCACTTTACATATTTTCCTTGTTTTGTCCTTGCAAAATCCTGTGTGTTGGGAACGTCAGCACTGTTATGTTTTGTTTTTAACAACTCGACTACCAGCCAAATAAATATACTATATAGATATTGGGAGGGGGACATGACAGGAGCTTAAAGTATAAGACAAAAGAGAGCAGGGGTCTAATCTTGTTACAGTGCACAACATAGCCAGTGATTTCCCTCTAATTAGATAAAATTAAGCAACGGGACGGGGTGCGGCAAATAGCCCCTAATTTCTATCCTTAGATTCCACTTCACTTTGACAGAGGTAAGGGGTGGGGAGCCCATCTCCACATCCTTGGCATAAACAGCCATTATTTACGGACTAGCGCAGTTGACTTGTTCAGAAGGGCTTGGCACCACGTGGTTAACTCCTGGTTTCAAGCATCAAAGCATAAGAGCCACTGGGTGAGCTGATAAAAGCTATTAGGCCACGCCAGAGCAATCTTCCTGGAGGCTTTAGACACAGAGGGCAGATAAGAAGGGCTAGTAACCCAAGATTAAGGCAAATGGCACATGATAATAAAAGGAATTAGAGGAAGGAACCCGAAGGCCACTGGTATTTCAAACCCTCTGTGTTACTGTGAGGTAACCACCAATCCTAAGTGCAGCAAAAGGCATTGTCTTAAAGCTGAATAAAAATGACTCACACTTGAGTTCTATTCTTTCTCAAATGTCTGTACATGTTTATTATGACTAACAAGACATAAATTTATTGAAGAGTTATTTAATCCTTAAGAGCTTTTTGTCATTATGTATGTTCTTTTCAATTAACAGACATTAACTGTCTGAGTTTAATATTTTTATTAGTTGCAAATGGTCCCCAATCTAAAAGGTCTTATATACTCTTCCTTTCTTATGGATTTATTTTAAATTGGCATCTATAACCATTCTATGTCACACATGGACAAATTTCATTTTATTTGCACTTTTTTAAATGGAAGTTTCCAAAACATCTGCTTAGAAGCACTTTTATTCTAAGGGACAGACCTACTCAGGAATCCAAATGGCCTGACACTTATGGCTAGTGGCTTATATTTGTGTAATCTGCAAATACATTTTATTTTATCTTTAAATATATGCATGCCATGTCAAATTCTTTGTGAAATGAGAAAAAGCATGAAAAAATAAACAATATTTACAACAACCCATTGAAATAAGAGGTGATATTTCCAACCTTTAAACCAGAAAACCAAGGATCAGAGAGGTTAAGGGACATGACTAATTTTTTGTGAAAGTAGTAAGTGAACTTTAGGCTAGAACTTTAGGCTAGAACCTAAACATCTTCCAACTCTAAGTTCTACACACATGATATATCTTGTCCTGATATCAGGCTGCTTTGTGCCTATGTTAACCCTAGGTACAAGGTCCCTAGGATCCATACACTTTGTCAAACATGTATTGTATTTTATATAAATTATTTAAATATCAGAAGGCCAATGATTGCACTGTGACATTTTAGACCAAGTATATTTTTTCTATACACCTAATAGTCACCACAAATAAACTTGCAAATAATGCAGCAGCACAAGACACATTTTTAATATGTTTTGCAACTCATGATACAATATCAGAAATTACTATTGTTTCCAGTGCATCATTTTGGCTAAAAGTGACCCTTGCTATGAAAACAGAATCAGTAAACTTAGCTTGATTGTCCAGATAAGTCAAGGAAACATGAAGGTTAGAGGGATTTCTCACTTTCAGATCACATAAGTAATTCTCTAATCACTTGAATTTAGGATATTCCAAGATTGTTTTGTAATGTGAACAAAATCTTCTGAGATCTGTGCAAACCAAACTAAGTCTCATACAGTTAATTCCCTGTGTTAGATACACACAATGAAGACCACAGAACTCATTGGTCATGGGGCACCTAAACTTGTCTTTGTGCCATGGGGCTGGGCATGATGGCAGGCACTTCTGTAAAACCTACTCTTGTGTGTTCTGGAACCTTCTGAGAAAAGTGATTGATGCTTCACATTTTCTATTTAAAATCATTAATATTTGAACACCTGGATGTGGCATTAAGGAAAAATAGGGGAGAGGGGGAAAAGGAAGAATTAAGAAGGACAAGAAAATGACAAATTTCTTAAAGTGTGAGAAGCAAGAATAAGGGAAACTGGGGACTATTTCTTTACGTATAATTGAAATGGAACTGTGATTTATCTCAACATACAGCATTTATGATTATTTTAAGTACCTTTTGATTCCAAGTATTTCTTTAAGAATCATACTTGTTTCTTTTCCTTTATAGTGACCATGTAGAGACCTTGAAAGCTTTTCTATAGCTCTCACCCAGAAATGATTCAAACATCTCTTCTCTCTTTCTGATCTACTAATTTACTTTTTGCAGAATTACTCTGCTTATTTTATTACCACTTCTGTTAATGTTATTCTATCCTTCAAACTTCAGTCATGTGCTCCTGCCAAAAAACTAAATGAATATATTTCAAAGAAAAGCTATCCATATTTTTCTTCCATAGATTTTGACATACTTTTCCTGACTCTTGCTCACACCAAACTCTCCAGAGACCCCCAGACATGGAACTGTCCCGTCTGGCTCTCTGGTTTCTGACATTTCTAGCATAGACTGAATTACAAGTAAGTGTTCAAGAAAACAAATAGTTTTCCAGACTTGAAAAACTTAGACTACAGATGACTGGAATCATACAAATTGTACAAATTTCTTTGTGTGTTTTCAGTGATTTTGCCTCATTGTCATTTAGCACTATGACTTTATTTCTAGTTTTCCACCGTGAGTGGGAATTGGGCTATTAAAAAACATATAAAAATTCATTTGAACAAACAGAGCAAGCAGTTGAGGGGAAGGCATAGGTCGTCACTGAAAGAAAA